TTTATTTTTTATTAAAAAATTAATACTTTTTTTTTATGTTCGCAGGCAAATTTGCCTGCTCTACAGTTTAAGGGATATGCTTGCAGATTTGGTAGTATATGATTATATAAAACAAAAAATTTCACTTTACCATTCTTCACCAAGTGCACAAACTTTGTCAGCCAATATGTTTATAATAGGACTTGTAGCTGGAATAAAAGAAAAAGTTATTGCAGATTCATAGTATTACTGGATAAATAAAAAGTAACTGTCATAATATCATGTATGTAAAACTTAAAAAAAAATTTTTTACCTTTAAATTTATTAAAAGAATAATAAATACATATTTTTTTATTTATTAAAAATAAATTAAATGCTTTTAATAATAATAAAAAAAGACTTTTGGTATCTAAGAAACATAAAATAAATGTATATTACAAAAGTTTTGAATCATGTAATAAGTCAATACCAATAAATAGGAAACCAATAGAATGTCAAATTGCCCATTCGTAAAAATAGTTTCACATTCGCAACTTCATACTAAAGTTTTCGATAAATTCTTTAAATAATAAAATTTTTTAAGGTTGTAAAATGTTGCTCAAGTTCGTGGCTTTTTAAATATATAAATTTTATTCCTTTATGTTAAGTATTGTGAAAGGGTAATTGTGACGCAACTTATGTGATACAAAAGATCAACCGATTTGACATAAGTGATATATGTGATATGTTAAACATATGTGGCATAACTGACATATTAAACATAGTTGACATATTAGATATAATTGACATATTCGACATAGTTGATATATTAGACATAGTTGACTTAATAGACATATTAGATATATCTTTATATGTAATTTATTTTATATAAATAGATAGCTTTTTAGTTCATGTAAAAAAAGAGAGATAGATAGGAACTCGATAAGTTAGTTTTAGTAGTTTTAGAGGCAACTGGCCTATCACGTTACATTTAGTTTTAGTAATTCGTTTCTTTTCTTTTCTTATTTTATTTTCTTATTTCTTTTCTTTTACTTCTATTATTTTACTCATGAATAAATACATTATTTTATAATTACAAATCATTGGCAATCTGTTGAATTACTCGATGTAATAGTATAAATATTTTTGATAAATTGCACAGGTCGAATAAAGAAAAATCAGGTAAAATTCATATACCCGATATTAGTATTAACTAACACTGTTTTTGTTTTGAATTAGGTTCAGTACACATACATGAATCTTAACCGGTTCTTGACACAGATCAGAGATCTTCAATATGAGTTTCGGTTAAGTCATATCAGATAAATTATTATGAATATCAGTGAATATCGGTGGATAATTAGAAATATAAATATTTTCCGATATATATAAATATCCGCCTGGTATTAAAAAGTATATTTATTGATCTGTCCAATATTTTTTAACAATAAGCATATTATATAAATTCAATATTTATATTTTATAATTATAATTTTACAATTAAAATTTATTACGTTAATTTAATATTAAATATCGCTGATAAATAAAATGTTTTCTGATAATATAAATATAAAATGCTAAGTACTAATAATGTCTCAGAAATGTTCCATGAATTTCAATCACGTGAACGAATCAGAATGATTCTTCTTTTGCTTTATCAAAAATTAATATTTATCCAGGACAATATGAAGTAGAAATAGCCCATTCTGGTGCATTACGAGATGGTTTAGAGTTATCTTCTATATATAATTGATCATTATACCACCTTTTTCTCCCAACTTTTATATACTGAATACTTTCCCCTATCAAATCAGCATGTCGCAATAGTTTTTGAACCTACAGTAGAAAAATTTTAATTAATATAATGTAAATAGGTCTATATTTGATTTTATACATTTCACTTACTCTACTAGACCTCTATTGCTTATCATACACGTGAAGTACATAGTTTGAATTTTCTTTTCGCGGTGGGTGAATATTCTTATCTTTTTCGTCTTGTACTTTCTCTGTATCAGATTCAGAGACTTCATCTGAATGATAGCCCGAATTGTTAATAATCCTTTCTAAATCTTCAATCCAATCATTTCATGATATTGGAGGTTGTAGATCTGTAAGCATTTGATCTTTAATTTTTACCATGTGATGGAACCCTCTTTGGCGTCTGTCTTTCTTCTTTTGTAATGAATAAATAAATAAATCTCAAACGTAATTAATCAATTTCAAAATAGATAAATTATATTAAAGTTGCAAAATAAACAAATAAACCTATACTTATATCTTTCCTCCTAGTATTTGTACCAGTTCTTTATTTGTTTGCCTTTGATTTTAGAGAATTCAACGAAACAGTATATGCATCCCTTCGATGACGATAAAGATTCTGTAAAACTTTCTTCAATTCTGTATCAGTATACTGAAATCTATCGCTGAGTACCCTCTTTATAACTGAAATGATGTTTTGGATCACATGCATTTCGATGTCTGTCCAATGATTCTTATGATCTATTGTAAAAGAGTCGTCTAAACCCTTTAAAATTTGGACAACTTCATCCTACAATGAAAAAGGTTAAATAAATTAATTTATATTTATAATCAAATAACTTATACTAATCTGGAATGCTTTCTTATACTCGTGATTCATCGGTTCTAAAGTTTTTCGGACATTAGTATATCTGATTGATGGTGAACTGGAAGACGAAAAGTGTTGTGCTCTTTCATGACCACCAAACTGACAGGGAGCTTCTTTTTCACGTTGTAGTTCTTTTAGCTCTCTTCTTATATCAGAGACAACCAAACTTAATTCCGCAATTTCTGATAAGAGCAATTAAATAGTGGTTATAATATATTAGCATTAATTAAAATATAATTATTGCTTTTTTTATGAAATTACTTTCTCTATCCCTTTCTTTACTTTTATTTCTTCTATGGTCTTTTTCACCAATATTCCTTTCTCTTCTTTTCCTTTTATTTTCTTTCATATTTGAAAAAGTATCTTCTCGATGAGAATATAGAGTTTGACTTCTATTTCTTCTTAACGAAATATCTTCTCGAGTTTGACTTGCGCTTCTATTTAATGGAGAATATTGAGTTTGACTTCTGTTTCTGCTTAACAAAGTATCTTCTTGACGAGAATATGGAGTTCGACTTCTATTCCTGCTTAATTGAAAGTATGGAGTTTGGCTTCTATTTCTATTTAATAAAATATTTTCTTGACGAGAGTGTGGAGTATCTTTCAAGTATAGAGTATCTTCCCAGTAAGAGTATGGTATTCGATTTTTACCTCTTTCTTCTTGTAATGAAGTTACTCTGTTACAATCAAAAATAACGAACTTTGTAAATTCATTTTTATAAGAACAAATATAAAAAATTTCTTTTCTACTTACTTGTATTTGTCCATTGTTGAATGATAATGTAGAATGGGAAGATGTTTGGAGAAAAATAATGAACAAACTAAAAAGAAAAAAAGTTTAAATCAGATAAATTGATCCTAGGTAAATCTATATATACACGTAACAATAAATACAATAAATATAATTAAAGTATAAATAAACTTAATTAAACTATTTACGACTAAACAATGCTATTAAAAAAATAAAAATTATCTCTCACCTCTCACACTTCGTTAAAATGCCTTAAATAAGACTAGCATTCAAAATGCTCAAAAAAACCCTTATACTCGTCCTCCTCGAACTCGAAAATCTGAACCGTGCTACTGTCAGGCTTGTAAAGGAAAATCGGTAGATTCTAGAATCAAAGTAGCTCATACTAAAAACCCAATTATGCCTCAACGAGAATATACTGTTAATTTTCCCGAAGTACCAGGAATCCCATTTGTTGATTTAATACATCCAGATCCAGAAATTGATATAAACTATAACAAAGGATCGCAAGAAGAGAGCTATTCATTTTTAGTAAAGAGAACATCGATTTCTTTTCAAAAGAGCAGAATTTCCAAAACTTCACTACCAAAAGTAATAAACAAATTATTCTCTGATGACAATAATGATAATGCGTTTGAAGATAGTGAAAGAGACTCTGGAGATGATATTTTAGAATATTCATCAGATGAATCAGAGGAAGCTTGTCAAGTAAATTTCGATGCTCTGGAAATGGAATTAGAAGAAACCAATTTTAGGCATGCTGAAAAATTAAATAACACTTTTTCATGGATCATTATATGGATTTTGAAGTATCAGGAGAGATTTTGGCTATCTAATGTAACTGTAGATTCTCTCTTTAAATTTTTGTGATATATTCTTGTGCATATAAATGAAAACCTATTTGCAACTTTTCCTACATCTCTCTATATAGCACGAAAGAATCTTGGAATTTGTGTTCATTTAATAAAATATGTAGTTTGTGAAAAGTGCTGTAAATTGTATAGGATTGTTAACGTATCTAGCAGTAGTCCTAACCTTATGCCTAAATTCATGAATTGCGTTTTCCAAGATTTTCCTAACCATCCAATAAGTCATAAAAGAAATGCTTGTAGAACTCCGTTATATAAACAAGTATATACAAAGAATGGTATAATTAAAAAACCAGCCTTGATATTTTCTATGATTAGCTTAAAACTTTAGCTGAATATTCTATTCAAACAAAAAGGTTTTGAAGAATCATGTTAAAAATGGGTTAATCGTCCGACCGACCCAGAAATTCTTGCTGATATTTATGATGAAAGAATATGAAAGTCATTCAATGATGAAAATGGGTCAACATTCTTTTGGCCAGACACAGCAGATACTCACATCAGAATAATGCTCAGTATGGATTGGTTTCAACCCTTTAAAAATTCTCAATATAGTACAGAAGCTATTTATAGCATTATTTGCAATTTGCTCCAAAATGAGAGGTTTAAACCTTCCAGTATATTAACATTAGCGTTAATTCCAGGTCCAAAAGAACCAACATTGCATCATTTAAATCATTACCTGACCCCTCTTGTCGACCAGTTAATTGAACTATGACATGGTATAGACTTATTAGAAACTTTTAAACACTCTAATGAAAAAACAATCAGAGGTGCAATTATATGCTGCTCTTGTGATATATCTGCTATAAGAAAGCTTTGTGAGCATATATCCGTGAGAATTGCATGTCACTGATGTAATAAACATGCCATTTTCGATGATAGAAATCAGCCAAATTTTAGAGAATTAGCTGATATGGATATCTGGTTTGTGGAAAGAAATGTTGAAGAAATCAAAAGTAATGCTCTTGCATGAAAAAATTTCAAAACAGAAGAGCAACGTCAGAATTATGTATCAAAAATCTTGGTATAATAGTCCGAAATATATCGATTACCTTATTTCAACCCTGTACGCTTTCTTGTAGTAGATCCTATGCATTGCCTTTTCCTAGGCATTGCTAAATGGATCATAATGAAACT